CCTTTACAAACCTCTTCTACTTGCTAGCGTACATTTTTGTTTACTTTTACATTTGGCATTTCTCCTCTCTTTCGCTAAAACAATCGATAAAACTAGGATGGACACCGAAAAGTTATCGGTTAAATCTGAGATTATTTTATAATTACAGATTAACAAGGGACGAATTTTATATGGCTAATCTCTTGTTATAATTACAGATTAGGGTGTTAAGCTCGAAAATGCGGATAATCTACTTATATGTGAACCTAGTATAAGCGCCGAAGGCAACACAGAAAGGAGAATTTTTGTTTACTTTCACATTTGGTATTAGTCCTCTTCTTCGCAAAAATAATCGATAAGACTAGGTGTACACCGAAAAGTTATCGGTTTAATCTGAGATTATTTTATAATAGTTCCGATCCCGTACAGGCTAACCTAATATTCGCGGCTTGCGTTTTGGTACGCACGCCGTAGAATTTTTTTCTTGCGTCACCCTAAATTGGCTTGCGTGCGTTTGTATTTGATTTCATTGAGTGAAATGTCAAATCAAAATGTCACGCAGAACAAAAATTGAAAATTGAGTTAGCTTCGGACGCACGCCGTTCAATTTCGGCTGGCCCCATACAAGTTGTATGCGCATGAGAAATTTTTGACAGTAAATTGGCCACGTGCGTGAATATTAGGTTAGCCTGGTACGAGTCCGGACTAGTCAGAATCAGTCAGATTTTACTGGAAATCGATCCCGTACTCGGTTCTCTGACTATTAAGAGGACGAAAAAGAGAGTAAATATGGTTCTCTCTCTGTAAGAAGTTACCAGTTTTAGTCAGAGAATTTTTTGCTGGTAAATTCTTGTAAATGTGTCAAACGATCAGCTTTAGTGTGTTTGGCAACCAAATTGTAAACATAAGAAAAGTATTTAATTACTTGTTTAAGTGGATTCTAATGAATTTGAAAGTATTTTCGGTTATTTACATGTGTGAGCTGAGCGTGTTTACATACAAAATAAGCAAACAAATTAACAACCAAAATTTCGAGGTTATGTTGAATTTGACAGAAGTTACCGTTTTTTCTAGAAAGCGATCACGTATTTTTCAATGTTACTCTCTCGCTCTGAGCGAATTTTTATTTTTTGACAGTTTTATTAAATTTAGTCCGAGGACTACAGGATTGCACCTAATTATAGATTAACGAGGGACGAATTTTGTCAAGAATGATAGAATACAAGATTGCGCCGATCAGAGAGGATTTTTGAGAATAACTTTTGTGTGACGTCACACTGGTGCAATTGCGAGAGAGAAATGCCAAAACGTGAGCAAGAATGGAAGAAGAAGAAAAAATTTTGCAAGGAAAATGTAAACAAGTTGCACCAGTGTGACGTCATGCAAACAACGATTCTGTCAAATTCGTTAAGAGAGGAATAGCGGTCCGAGATCGGCGCAACCTTTGTATTCTCTCAATCGTGGAATTTTGTATGGCTAGTTTGTATCGCTGGAATGTTAGTCAAGATGACCAAGTTACAGTACAGTTAACCCTATTGCACATAAACACTTTACAACACTCGCTAATGCAATAATAACACCTTAAAAGACTTGCTAGCACTCTGTTTCACAAATGAACTTGTAGTTTGCTGATTTGCAACTGAACTTGGTGTGCGCTGTAGCAACGCCTTCATATACCTGCGCTGCTTCGCACTCAATGCAACTTTAGAACGTTCTGGCTTAAGGTGCGGTTAAACGTGGCAATGCAAGCGCTTTTTCTACGCGTTTTGCTTTCAAAATGCGAAATCGAAAGTCTACTTTCCTGTGTAAACAGCCTGAAAGTCCTGTTTGCAGATTTGCAGAAATCACTTTCGGAAATAAAAGTTGGAAATTGTAACTGCAACTGAAATTATGCAAACCCCTTTCGAGAAATAATTTCTTCACTAGTAAAGTGCTTCATGCACACATAGCTCGATTTGGTGTTTAATGCATCTCCTCGCCGGCAGAACTGCTTCCACCTTTTCGCCAGATTTGCGTCGGTAGGAAACGAAAAAAAAACTTATATCGCACGCTTTCCTTCTGTTTTCACTATTACACTTTGCCACGGCACACTTCCTTTGGTTTGTAATGTCTCAATAATTGATTAAAACCACGCAGAAATATTAACGCTCATATATTAAAATTGTTATTTGGGTTTTTCGTATGCTCACAATCAACAATTGCACCAAGATGACGTCACGCACACAGCCCACGACACACAGCCGATTCTGTCAAAATCACAAATCTCAATCGTGGAACCATATCTTTATCAGGATCATATCGTTGTTGTTGCATTTGCGTGCAAATTTTATCCGCATCCAGATCATTACCCAAGAGAACATAACTAATATATTCGCACATGGAAGCGTCTTTTTCTCTGCTATTAAACAACAGGTGCCGCACCAAACTACTGTTTGAAGGCCTTCGACCAGATTTTAGGAGTCTCATAATAACATCACAGATGGCGCCGTTGTCTACATTTTTTAGTCCGGAAATGTTTACCAGCACGGTTCCACACCGTTCACCGCCTGTTTTTGCATGAAATTTATTGCCAGCTCGTTTCTATATTGCAAAAAGTTAAATTAAATTGTTTAGGACTCTGAAAAATATTAAAAGAGCATGCGCTTAATACGTGATTCGTCCGTAATTCACCTTTTTCTTCGTATTTGGCCCACTTATGTACTTCGTCATGTTGGCAAATCGGCAATAATCGATGATTTCTATGACATTATCGAATTAGCGTTGCAGTATTCAAAAGCTAACGTGGAACTTTTAACTTTACCTGAACAAAAATCAACAAATTCAAAACTGGCTACCGACAATGTCATGACTAATTTGAGTCTGATTTATTTAAAGAAAAACAAACGCTAATAACAATTCCTCTAACCTTTAGGACCTGATAAATTGTTTACCGATTATTGGATGTCAATGGCCACCCAGCTGATCAATCGATAATTATTTCGTACATTTCTTGCAACCTGCCAAACCGTATTGGCCGTCTTCAAATTGCCCAGCACTCGTTGTTTTGTTGTTGCGGTGAGAGGTTGATTCGCATTGAAACGTTGACGACGGTAGTGAAACGGCAACGTCGCGCCCAGACATTTTCGCTTGAATATTTGTAAAGTGCAAAAAGAAAGTGTTTAATAGCCAAGTGGCAGGTCCAATTTGAGAATGCTGCTGCTTTAAAATAATAGTGCATCGCTTAGAAAAGCTAAAATAAAATTTGTGCGTTTCCATCAAATTGTAAACTCTGCGCAAAGCTTTTATGTTTTATGTGCTCCACAAGAAAAGAACAACATTTTGTTGTTGTCTGTAGCACAAAGCTGCAGTGTGTTTGTTGGTCGAGTGTGCGATTATAGCGAGAGCTCGGGAAATTTGTGTAAATCGATTCCAACTGGAGAAAATTGTAGAGAAAGGATTAAGTAAATAAAATTCTTTCCATCGAAAAAAGGCAAGTAACAAATATAAATTGGACGATACTTTGTGAGAATTAAAAGAAAAAAAACTGGAAAATATAGAACGCCAATAAAAAGGAATGAAAAAAATTGCTCATTTTGTTGCTTATGTTGTTGCTAAAATTTGCCAGCAACTCTTAATTCTCTACACCAAATGAAAAATTGCCTTGGCGAAGGCAAAAGTAAAAAAAGGTAAAGCAAAAGGTGGGAAAACCATAAGCTGAAGGAAAAGTGTGTGTGGAAGTATTAAAATGTGTTGAAAAGTCTAAAAACAATGCAAGAGCAGAAAGAAAACGAATAGCGAATGTTAAAAGCCAATCAAAGGCCAATATTACAAAATTTTGTAAAGTGTTTGGGATGGAAAAAGGCCACTTGAAATTATTTAAACAAGTTGTTTAGTGTTTCGAATTCGTTGTTGTGAAAAAATATAAACAGAAATAGCGCAGGGAAATTGGTTACGAAGTGAAAAAAATAAAATCAAAATAAAAGTCAAAAAATAGCGAGAGAGCGTGCTTGGCAGAGAAGTGCTGCATGCGCGAATGTGCGTTTCATTTTTTCTTATTGGAAAAACAGATGAAGTGTGAAGAAGAAGAAAAATAACATAAGCAAAACAACACTATGCAACATGTATGCAAATTATTTAGTATTTTGATTGGTAGTGCGACATTTTAATTGCCTTGCAAACCAAAGTTCCCGAAATCTTAACGAAATATTTAGAAGTATCTCATTTCTGTAACGATTTTTTGTACGAATCTTCAAGGAAAACTATATGTATGAAGGTGTTGACACGAACTTTTCGAAAATTCTGCCAGAAATTCTTCACATAGCAGCATTATTCTTGTTGTTGTGTGTTCTTGTTGTTGTTTACCGATTTTCTCCCGAAATTTCTTAAAAGAATTCGGCAAAAAATTTTATGAGATCTTTACGAATTCTTTAAAAATTTCTATACAAATCAGAATACTCTGATGGCTTGCAGGGTGTTGAGATGTTGAAATATTTATTTTGTTATTTGCTTTTGTATGTATGTGTGCACACACATGTATAGCAGGAGAATAAAAAAAAATGGTCAGCCGCCCACGGCCAGAGCAATTTGCGCGTTGAGAAATTGTATTGATATTCATACATACATACATACGTATGTACGTACATACATATTTACCCCCTTATTTATGTAAATAAATCTGTCAAATCTGTGGTGGGATTAAACAATTTTGGCAGTCTTTTTCGCTACAAATAACGTGTCATGATTTAGACTGTATTTCTTCTTTGAGAGGAAATAAACTGCACGCAGTTTGGCATTAAAATTTAGTAAAATTTTCCTTTCTAGCCATTCTTTTTTTCTTGTTATCGATTTTCTTGATCGTTGCTAGCACATGCAATAATATGTTCATATTTTTAGTATTTGCGCGCAGTTATATTGAAAACAAATAATAACAAACAAATAAGCATAAAAAAGGCGAAAAAAATACGACTCATTGGGAACACCATCAGCAATAGTAGCAGCAGCAAGACATAATGTCGACAACTTCGTCCGTTGAAACGCCTACATCTCCCAGCGTTCCATTGGCACCCCATCAGTCACGTCAGCATCAACAACAACATCAACCTCAACAACATCAATATCATCCGCATCAGCATACGACCACAGCTATTGTTGTCAACGCTGGCGCCGGCGCTAGCCATCATCACACCAATTCGGGCAACACTCAATTTACTCAATTTAGCCGTCATCGCACCCATTCATCTTCGTCCTCGTCGAATAATTCCTTTACTGGCGTCACTGGTGTTACCTCGATGAAGTCAGGCACAGCTGGAGCTAACACTAATAACGGCAACGGCAATGGCACTAGTAATGGTAATAGCAACGACGGCAACTGCAGTGGTAGCGGCAGTGGAACTGGATATGGCTATGGCAGTGGCAGTGGCAACAATCACAATCAATCGACTCACTCACTACTAACCCCATCATCATCGACATCCTCATCGCCTTCAGTGGTGTCGGCCTCGGCCTCCACTTCGGCTGCTGTACATCATTCGCATCAACAATATTCACATCCGTACCAGCAACAACAACAACCACAACCACAACACAATCATCATCATCATCAATATAACCAACTGCAGCAGCATCCACATCCACATCCACATCCACATCAGCAACAGCAACAATACTCTTCATATTCACAACGTGGCGTTGCAAGGCCATCAACGTCATTCTCGACCCCTGACGGCACTGTAACCGCTGTGGCCACCATTTCTACGAACACGCCGGGCAGCATGAAGCGCCATCACACCGACGTTTCGGTGTGCTCGTCTGGCTCTTCGTCGTCTTGCTGCTCCAGCACCGGTTCGGTTTCGGCAGTCGGAGTCATGGGCGCTGCTGCCTCCACAGTGAATGCTGCCATCGTAACTACACCAGCTGTGGTCAGCAGCAGCGGCGGTGCTGTGATTACGCAGAAATTGAGCAGGACAATTCCATCGGATAAGGTTAGTGAAATTAATAAATACATACATATGTATATCTATATCCATATATTTGTATGTTTATTTTATTTATTTATTTTATTTTTTTATTTTAAGTCACTCCTTAACTTATACAGGGTCGGAGAATTATTTGGCCCAACTAACAAGTAATAAAGAAGTTGGTGTTCATCTTTAATTATTATTCTATATTTTGTATGTTTATAGCAAATACGCACATAGCAAAAAAATTACAATATTTTGTAAGTCTAAAACAAATAATTCCCAGCACAGCTAAAATTCTATATTCCATCAAAATTATGTCCCATATATGTAAGTAATAGTCTGCTTTTAGGCGTTCAACGGCGTATCTTTGAATACCAGCTGGTATTTTCGAAATTCCTTTTTGCTTGTTTTTTTATTTGTTTTTTGTTGTTTTTTTTCTTATACATAGATACATGTTTTCGCATTTACCTTGTCCTGTTTATCGCTCAGTGCTTTTATTGATTTTTATTTCTCCTTGCAATGGGAGGATGTTTCAATGTTAACGCTGTGAGATTTTAGGCGCATGCAGAAAGAAATTCAGGGCCAACAGCGCAGCGCGTATTGGCCTTCAAAAAATTGCTGGTAACAAGCTGTGTAAGGGGTTGTCAGGGCTGTGGGTGCAATGCAGACTGTATTACGTACATATGTACATACATACATACATACAAATGTACGTACTAATTCCTGCATATGTTTGTATGAATGTGTGTTTGACATTGTGTGGGGTTTAATGCAAAGGTCACAGTGTACACGCTTACGAACAAACGAACAAACATCCATAGAAAAGGTCTCAGGGTCGAAAACTTTGAAATTCGTTAACGTGAATTAACGATTACGACAGCTTCTTAAAATAAGTAAGTGCTGATAAAAAAGTAAACCAAAAACGATATCGACATATGTACACTTGTATCTGGCACCTTTATTGATGCTGGGGAAATTTGCGACAATCACACCTATGTATCTTCAAAAATTGGTAATAAGAGTGATACATATAGTCGTTTAAATTACAAAACTGCGTATCAAGAAAATGCAAAACCTAGTATGTGCGGTTGCCCAAATTTTATAGGCGAGAGTAAAACTTGTTTTTTTTTCAAAACGGTTCTCCCTCTTATCACTAATTAAGTATCTCTTCTTCTTGTTTCTAATATTTTAGTATGAATGGATAAGAGCTTGATGCCAGGAGCTTCCGGTGAGCAAATATGTTTTTTGGCACAAATGTCAGTTACGAGGTTTTGCAGAACCACGTAACGCGGTTTTGTGTACTTTCTACTATTTCGAACCTAGCAGTTTTCAATGAGTACTGTATTTCTTCATTGCAAAAGGGTTGTTGTTGTTGTTGTAGCAGCATACAAATTCCCCAAAGACTTTTTGGGGAGTGTTGCTGGAGTGACAGTCCTTGGCCAGATATAAATCTGGGTCGTTCCGGTTACGTAGACCCGACTGTCAGGGAACGATTGCAAAAGGGGTCATCAGTTTGACTAAATTTATTCCGATTTCTCAAAACCATTGGATAAAGTGTCCCATAATATGCTTATCCACAAGTTATCTCTGTCTGGTCATCATTCTTGTATTATTAACTGGTTTAAGTCCCATCTGTATAATAGACAATGTGTTATGATGCTAGATAACGTCTCGTCGGTGCCTTTCATAGCTAAATCTGGTGTCCCTCAAGGGAGCATTCCACAGTGGTTTGGATAGCAGATCTAGCTGGATGAAAGACAAAATTTTATTTGTTTTTAAAATACTTAATGTTGCTTGGAATGCATTCCTGACAATACATTCAAATAGAAATTGCATTTATTAAAGCAATAAATATATGGAAACAAAAATAAAAGTAAGTCGACGCCGTCTATTTGAGAACACTATTTTAAAAAACTTAAATTTAATTTAAAAGATTGCTCATAGCACTCACAAATAGTTGCATAGTTGCAAATTGTCCTTATAAACCAAAAATTACACTTATTTCGCCATACATTCAGAGGTCTTAACGCAATTTATGTCTGCATTGGTATAAGTAAATTTATACTGAAAATTCGTCGTTTCGCTAAGTTAAAAAATAAATGAAAGAGTAGGAAAAGTAAAAGCCGCCGAAAGCTGTTATAAAACCACTTGAGGTTAAGTTCGATCACCATGTCTAACCAATTGGCTTAGATATTTACATTTTAGTGACGGTATTTCAAATCTCAAAATTCAAAAGTAATTATTAGCAAGGAATGAAACCGAAACCCAAACCGTAACCGTAACCGTTTAAAACCGTTTCGTTTTTCAAAACCGAAACCGAA